TGAAGGACAAGCATTACACGGTGCTTGTGCCTCCGAAGGAGTCCGGAGCGAGCATCCCTGACAGCTGGCTTAAGGAGACTCCGAGTTTCTGCATCGACCTCACTGGCGGCACCCGCGGAGGCACTGCTACTCCGTCAGTGCACTCGCAGAACACTCCCTCGGTGCACTCGCACCCTTCGTCGGACCCTCAGTCGCAGGCGGAGGGCAGAAGAAGCGTGGCTGTCACCCCTTCGGTGCACACCCACGACCAGCGTAGCCTGGCTACGCCCTCTGTCTTCACGCAGGGAGGTGCGCAGCAGCCCCTGACTGAGGCCAGCTCTGTGCGGGACTTGGAGTCTTTCTCAGTTCGTGAAGCCGCTGTACGAGAGCCCAACCCTGGCCAGGAGGAGCAAACGCCCGCTCAGGCCGCTAAGAAGCGGTGCCTCCTCCAGCGCTCTCGACTACAGGGCAAGCAGGCTCCCTCGGCAGCTTACACGGTGCCCCTTGCTCCGGATGCTAAGAGTAAGAAGGGCATCCAGCCTTATGTCTCTCGTGTCCCTACCATGCGTCTTAAGCAGGCCTCTATGGCGAATAGGCACCGCCGCCACCCCACCCGCGACCAGGCGCAGAGGGGCCTCCCTGTGGTCACCCGGGCTAACGAGGAGGGCAAACAACTTTGGTGGCCTTGTCCATACTGTGACTTCCGAGTGTACAAAGGCCGTGGGCTCCCGCGTCCAACTGACCAGAGAAACAAGCACCTGTGTTCGGTGCACGGCTTTGCGAAGGCTCCCGACCTTCGCAGTGCGTCGAGCCTGGCTCACTCGGCCACGCGTGAGAGCGCTGCTAAAGCTGCCTTTGACAAGCGTTGGGCTCTCGTGTATCAGGAATACGCCAAAGCCAAATGGCCTGGTGCGCACGATATCACGGAGGAAACGACGAGCTGGACAGCACGCATTGACAAACAAGGCAAGACTCAGTACGATGCGTGCCACCGATGCAAAGCATGTGGGCTTCAGATCGATAGAAGGAAGCTCCCTGTTAACTTCTGTCCCAAGGCTCAGCAGTTCGACAGAACCTGTGTCAACATTGCTGAGCGCAAACGGCAGTGGAAAGAATGGAGGCAGAATGCTTCCACCTCTCTGGGATGCAGTAGGACACTCAAAAGGGTTCGTGCTGCTGCCAAGGCCGCCTCGACTAAGGACAGGCAACCTAAGGTCAAAGGGCCTCGCAAGAGGCCTGCCGCTCGGCAGGCGTGCTGACGGTTTAGGGCCCCCAAGGAGCTTGAGAGACTCACGGGTACTCTCCCGCTCCTGGCCGGGGCCCAAATGTCCAGGCGAGGTTTACGCGGCACGAGGCTGGGTGAGGCTTCGCACCCAGGGCCCGTTAGGGGCAGTTGTCTGCCCAGCCTTCGCGTCTGCTCTCTTAGCAGGCGCAGACAAGCAGTCCTTGACCTTGCTGAGGACTGTGACAGTGTTTGGGCCGTGCTCCCAGCTGAGGCCCAGATGATCACCAGGTGCGGTTACCGCGCACAGCGAGTGGGCGAAGCATTGCATCCAGGACCTGAGGGGCTCACGCTTTGGAGCAAAAACATAGGGTCGTGGCATAAGCATGCTGCTAGTCTCATGAGTGACGCTGCCGAGGCTGGTGTTACAGTTATGGCATTGCAAGAAACAAACCTCGGCCCACACGCCGAGCCTGCTGCGCTCAATCTGGCAAGACGGATGGGTTGGAACATGTTGCATGTCAGACAAACCGGCCGTCGTAGGGGCGGGGTGGCCCTCCTCGTCAGGACCCCTCTCGCTCTCCGACCTGTAGTCCAGAACGCGGCTGTTGACTGTCAATGGCTTTTCGCTGAGGTGCTAGGTGCTCAGCAAAGCTTTACGATTGGCTCTGCCTATCGGGTCCCAGACCAAGACGATGCTTCGAACCTGACTTGCCTTGTCCAGGAGCTTGAGGGCTTTAGAGGCAGGCTTTGGTGTTTGGCTCTCGATGCTAACTGCAGCCAGGTTAGAGGGACTTTCTCTGAGAGCATGTCCTCCACCGGGGCTAGTCTGGCGGCGGTGGCTAGGCATACGAGGGAGCCGATTGATGGCATCTGGACCTCTCAGGCGCTTAGGTTTTCGGACTCTTCCGAGTTCTTATGGGGTGGGGACCACTCGGTCGCTTCTACACGACTCCTTCTCTCGTTTGAGAAACCGGGCAGTGTCTTTCGGTTTGCCAGGACTCCCAGGCTTAGTAGGCAGGACACCGGCGAGCTTACTGCACCGCCGTGGCGACTTGCAGTGCATGAGCTCTCTCAGGACCTCGAGACTGCGTGGGATCAGTGGCATGCTTGTGCAGAGGACTGGCTTCGACAGGCCGGCGTTTTGCAGAGTACCAAGGCTGAGCAAAGGCTGGGATCTGTCCCTCGCCTTAAGTCCGGGACCCACGCGGCGGGCCCTGGGCAGCATGCTGACGAACGTCAGCTGCGAAGGCACATTCGCAGACTTCAGGAGGCTCTTACCCTTACAAGGCGCGGTGCTACTGTGCCGGGGCCTCTTCAGAGCAGACTTGTCAGCCGAAGCGTCCCTCAACCGGAGCGGCAGGCGGCTCGGTCTGGACACTGGGGCGTCGCTTTGCAGAGCGCCCAAGGGCGGCTAGAGGCTCTCCTGGTTGACAGACAGAGGCTACTGAAGCGCGACTGGGTTCACAGGGTTCACTCGGTGGCTGGGGCTGCTTCGTGGTGTAAACAGCAAGCTCCTCCCCCCGCTACTCTGGTCTCTTCTGATGATGCTGAGGTTTACACCACCAAACCTCAAGCTGCTAAGGCTCTCTATCACGCATGGAAAGACATCTTTGGGTCCACTAGTACTGCGACTGAAGGACCAAGTCTGGTGGACAAGTTCGGCGGTTTTATCCGCCAGTCTACGCAGCAGGCTCCCCGCCTTGAGGCGCTTGAGGGGCCGGAGCTGCGTCGCCAGTTGGGGCGGATGAAAGGCAAAACTGCCAGCACGGACGGCTGGACCCCGGAGATGCTGTTAGCGCTGCCTGATTCGGCACTCTCGTGCCTGGCAGTTCTGCTCGGCCAGTGTGAGCGGGAAGGCAGGTTCCCAGAGTCACAAGTTCACTGGAGGTGCGTTTTCCTTCCCAAGTCTAAAGGATGCACTACCAAAGTTGGCGATGTTCGTCCTATCGCTATCGCTTCGATTTTCTATCGTCTCTGGGGCACCGTCCGCTTCAGACAGTGCGCGCCTTTTCTGACTGGGTGCTTGGACCCGTACCAGGCAGGAGGAGTCCGAGGACCTGACTGTGAGACGCTTCTGCTGGACCTAGACCTCACTTTTCCGCCTGAGGACTTTCCCTTCCTCATGTGCCTGGACTACAAGAAGGCATTTGACAGTGTGGACTTTACTGAGGCTCTTCGGCTGCTTGAGACTGTAGGCGCCCCGCAAGAAGTCTGCAAACTGCTAGGCTTCCAATGGCGGTCGCACAAGCGTTGGATTGAATTTAACGGGCACATTCATCAAACGCCTCTTTGCAACACCTTAGGCCTGCCGCAAGGCGACCCCTGGAGCCCGATATGCCTTGCGCTCCTTCTGAGCCTCCCAAACAGATATGTTCGGCAGCAGGTTCCCTCCACGAGTACTCTGCTCTATTTGGATGACAGATCCATTGTGAGTCCGTCTAGCCAGGACATGCTGCGAGCTCAGCAGGCTTGGGCGGTTACGGAAACTGTGAGCAGGATGCGTACGCATCCTGGCAAAACACAAGCCCTCGGACGCACAAGCACACCTCAGGACGAGTTGCTTCGACAGGGGTTCCCTGCTCGGGCCACTGCTGAGGTGTTGGGCGTCTCGATCGGACTGGTTCCCAGGGACCGCAGTGAGGAGGAACTCAAACGGGAAGCTCAGGCCACTTATGTGGCTAGCAGGCTTCAATGCCTCCCGTGCTCTCAGAGATTCAAGTGCACCTTGGCTACGATTCTCTTTACTGCCAAGCGGCTCTGGGGCTCATTCTTGAATGGGCGCTTCCCTACCGAGCCGGAATGTAAGACTTACGCCACGACTTTTCGGACTGCTGTGAAAGGTAGTGATGCTCAGTATGACCGTGCTTCCCGCCCTTTGCAACGGGTCTTGCTGCTTGGTCATGCCAGTGACATGCTTCTCATCAGTGCGCATCGAGCTCTCACTGCTTTGGGCCGGTGGGCTGATGGGGAAAGGCAGGCAGGTCGTGACCCTGCCAGGGTGCAGATTCAGAAGACGCAGGTTGGGGGCCTGCTTTCTCGTGCGCTGCCCGAGTGGGGTTGGCGGATGAGCCGTCAGTGGGGTGTCTTCGCTTGTGAGGCTGGCACTCTGTCGCTAAGGAACTCTGCTCAGGTCCGGGGCAGAGGTCTGCACCTCTTGCGAGAGTCATGGAGGCTTACACAGTTTCGCTCCTGGCTCCACTCCGACCGCATAGATGCTGAGGTTGCCAGGGCTGAGGGCCTTGTCATCAATCGGCACTTGGTTGCCCGCTTGCATAAGCTGGCCATGAAGCTTCCTGGGCATGCTGTCGCGTGCATGGTGGGAGGGTGCAGTACAGATGCCCGCTGGACGCCCTCAGGTGCCATTCGAGATCGCTGTGAGCTCTGTGGCCAGACCGAGACTCCGAGTCTCAAGCACGTCATGTGGAGGTGTTCCGCGATGGCGCACCTTCGAGGCATCCCGGAACCGGCTTCTGCCCTTAGAGGTCGGCTGGGATGGTGCGCTCGGGCCTTGGGCAGAGGGCGCGACGAGGCCTTGCTGATGCAGATGGCCAGCATTCGTGAGGCTGAAGCAGCCTCGCGCCACAAGCGCCCTGCGTGGCGCCACTAAGGAGATGCACTGTTTCGGCTCTCTCATCGCCTACCGCTCAGCGTGGCGCCGCTAAGGAGATGCATGGTCTCTCCTCCCCGCCCTTGTGGCGCCGCTAAGGAGATGCGTTTCGACTATCTCCTCGCCTACACTTCCGTGTGGGCGTCTTCCTCGTCGACACCCCGGAGTCAGGGTACGACGACAACTACATCAATCTCTGATGAGACTTTCGTCCACATCGTGTACATCGTCATACTGGAGTGCGTGAGGCCAGGCTCGTTTAACGACCCGAATGGCTGGTTTATGACATTCAACCGAGATCAGACCTGAGGCTCGAATGCCAGCCAGGTCGTATGCTCGAAAAGCACCCCCAATGCCATTGAAAAGCGAAATTATCAACAGAGGCCGAACGCTGCCAAGATCACTCGGTTCACTCCAAGCACGAGCCAGCGAGCGACCGGACCATGAGAGCCCCGTCGAGACACAAATTGCACCACCTTTTTCGGATGCGTCAGTGGCCACGACCAAAGGATGGACAGCACGAGAGAGGTCACAGGAGCATAGCGGGCTGAGGAGGACCGCCACGAAGAGTTCCAAACTGGCCCGTCGCTTGACAGCCAGTGGGCACGTGGTTGCTGCCGCTTTCCAAATCTCGGAAAAAATAGCGAACAGTGGCCTGCGGAACTGAAGGAGAAAAGCCCATCGACCTGCAAGAACTTGCATCCTTTTTCCTTTTACGGTGTTGTTGAGCAGCGCTTGGCTAAGCGAGCTTACGCAAGTCTTCCACAGCCGAGCGGTTCCTCCACTAAGCTTCCCAAGCTCCCCATCAATCTCAGCTCCAAGCTCGTGAGCAACGCCAGCGAACTCAACGTTTTTATCACTGGCACACAGAATTCCGAAGCTATCCCAGCCGTCAAGCGCGGCACGGAAGAGCTCGGCTCCATCGCTGGTGCGTTGAGAACTCGATTTGCATTCAACCTGACACGAAATGAAGTTGTCCAAGTAAACTTGCCACCAAGAATGCTCGCCGCCTTCACGCCAGCACTTGACTAGCCACGGAGGTGCGGAGCGATCTTTTCTCATTTCATGGGATTCTGGCAGACGTGATTCGAGGAGAACTCGTCGACTAATGCATTGCATCACTCCTACGGCTGATTTCCACCCCATTGGCAAAGTGCAGCAAGCAATAGTGTAGCGCTCATCACTCTCAATGCCCAGCTCATGACCAGAAAGATCGAAGTTGAGGCAGAACCAAGGGAGCCAGACATCAGGAAGGGAGAACAAATAAAAAGCACATGCCATGTCACACTGAAAAGCAGTGAGGGTCTCACCTTCACCCAGAATGATCGACTGCCACTTCGTGATAGATGGAAGGCTTTCGATGTGACCTCCAATGATCCTTTGCACACGATTTGACGGAATCAAGTTTATGATCGTTCTTAACACCGGCCTTCCGTCTTCCAGCGTTTTAGGCTTTGGGACCCCAAAAAGTCCATTCAGGATGCGCTCATTCTCAACACGCCCAACATCACACAGTTTCATGGGTTTGCAAACTCCTCGTTCAACAAGTAGCTTTGCCACGGCAGCTCCCGCCCCAGCCGCGACATGTACTTTTGCCCGGCACGGCCCGGGTTCAATTTCGGAGCTTTCCAACATAGATAGCCGAGGCTCACTTAAAAAACGCCTTGTTCCACCATCCACCAAATCGAGGGCGTTAACTTTTCCCCCGGCACCGGCGGGAGGAAGAGCAGGTTCCATTTGGTCCACCGTCAACGGCCTGAGGGGCAGAATCTCCTCACCCGTGTAGCTTAGAACAGCTTTGTCAAGCTCAGTCCAAATTGAGTCCAAGTCAACACGACCAAACCCAGACGATCCTCGCTCCAGCAACTTCGCAACCTCACCTCGAAGTAAACACTCAACCTCTGTACTGACTCGGTTGCCAGCCTTCTTAGAAGGACACGGCGAGACAAGTAAGTCATGAAAGCCCGCAAGCCAATTGATTCCGCACGCGATGCAAAAGAACCACGCGTCCAAAGAAAGTTCATGAGAGAAAGTCACTCCCTCAAACGGCCGCGATTTCAGCGACCAAACTGTGCTAGTTTCAGAGACTCGCAGGGGGAGGAGCGGTAGATGTTTTGATCCACCCTCCTGAGGACTGCGACTGTCTCCCAACAAAAACTTTAAGCTCATGCCCTGTACAGAAAAGTGATTGTTTAATATTCCCCATGCGAGCCATGGTCCGAGTTCTGCAAAGCTGGTCACGGAGAGGGGCCAGCCAGCGGCCTCACTAACCCCGGACGCGTGGAAGTCCGCAGCCTGCCAACCCGGGCGGCACGCGTCCTCCTCACAGCCGGCGCCAGTGAGGCCTGCGGCACGGCACTCCCCGTAACCACCCGCATTCACTTCGCCTTTGAATCTTTGGCCGGATCGGCCTTGTCCTTCTCCTTCTCCTTCCCTTTCTCTTTTCCTTTCCCTTCCTTTCCTTTCCATTTCCCTTTCGTCTGGCCTTTCCCCCAAGTTTGCCATCCTCCGCTTTCTAGGCCCTTGCCTTCCTGTATCCCGGCTCCTTTGCCTTCTCTCCACCATCCGCCGTCGCCACGTTTCCACGAACCTTCCGACTTGGCAACCAGTCGAGCATGACGCTGAGCTGCCAGGAGGGTTTCCGGTTTGGCGATGCTCCCACTGTCCATCGTTTCGACCTCTAGGTACTTTGCCGTACTCCAGTTCCCCGTGGATGCTGCGACTTCTAAGGCCATGATGCGTCCTGCTATGGCGTCGGCCAGCTCGTTCAAGTGGCCATCCCTGAGAAGGTCGGCACACCGCGAGAGAAGAAAAAGCTCTCGTTGATCCCGGGGCCGATGCTCGAACTTCGACCTCCAAAAGAGTTGGAAGAAGAGGCTCATCTTCACCTCTCCCCCCGCACCAGTCCCCAGCGTTTCCCGGCCTTCTCCCCGCTCGCGTTCCGATAGCTGCGCCCTCGCATGTTCCACTAGCTCCTCCATTACTGCACCGGGTTTCTTCTCGGCTTTCCTCTTCACCGGGGGCATGAGCTCCTTCTCGGAGCTCGATGCGCTTTCGGACCCCGTACTCCCTTCCGAGCTCGAGGTCCTGCTCCTTCCTTTTCTTCGTTTCCTGTCCTTCCTCTTTGCCTTCTTTCTTCGCGCTTTCCTCTTTTGCCAACGACTTCCGCTTCAAAGTAGGCTGCTTGCGAGTCGGGCTTCCACTCTTCCCCGACCCGCTTGTAAGCTCCACGACCTCGTGGATGCCACCTGGCTCCGCCTTCACTCCCGACCCCATCTGAAGAGTTCCAGTCGGAGCTTTGGTCAGGGCTGGGGCTACGCCTGCTAGCGCCTGCCTTTCCCTGTCTGCCCAAGTCACTCTCGGACGAAGGATTGGGCGAGGGTTTGGCTTCCCCACTCCCGCACGCGATGCCAGTTCGGAGAGCCCTGCGAAGAACTCCCCGGGAGGACCACCCTTCCTTTCGGGCGCCTCCCGCTGCTTCCGAGAAGCCTCCGGGCCTCGAGGCTCCAAGGGCTTCGGCGTTGCCGCCTCCGCCCCCCGACAGAACTTCTCGTTGAAGTCCTTCAGCGCCCTCTTGCCGTGCGCTGTGCAGAGTTCCCCCTGATAAGACAGAGGGGGCCACCACGTCAGATCCTCTACATGAAGCACGTCCTCGTCCTGATGGACCTCGCAAAGCGCACGGCCTTGCAAACAGAAGTGGAGCTTTCCGGTTTTGGTGTTGAACATCCTCCCCAAACCTTTGTGCCTCCCTTCTGTACCATGATCGTTGGTCCCGAGGTACCTTGCTACATAGAGTCTCTCGCCAATGGCCTCTGCGATCCCAAAGGCCCCCAGTGCTGGTGCAGACTCCCCAATGGGAGGGAGACCTGCCTCCACAATGCTCCCGATTTCGGGTGCGAAGTCTATCCAGCTTGCCATTTGCTCCTTGGAATAAGGCAACCCCACGACACCATCTTCCTGAGGCAGCTCTTCCTCGTCCCCCTCGCCATACGGGGCACTGACATGATCCGTCATTGGTGCCGCCGCGGGGCACTAAAATCGTACCTCGAATTGAAACGAAGTTCCTCGGCCGACAAGTTCCTGTGAACCAAGGCGCCCTCAGGCTTTTCACCCACCTTCTGATGCTTGCGCCCGGCACGATGAACCTTTTTATCCTTCTTCCTTTTCCTGTCCTTCCGTCCTGGGCTCCTATCCTTTCGGTCGTCGCGTCGATCCCCAAAGGACTTAGAGACCCAATTGCCTGGCGCCGCAGGTGGCTTCGACTTTGAGGTAGCAGCTGGTTCAATTCCTTCCTTTTCCTTTTTCACAATCTCCTCCTCACTTTCAGTGGCGTATGTGTACTCGTCGTCGTTTGGTGCAGGGGCTGTCAAGGCTTTGCTGCTAGCACGAGCTGGGCCAGCTGACTCTTCCGCGGCACGTAACTCCCTTCCCTCAGCCCGCACCGAAGTGCTGGCACGAGGGACCGGAGAAACAGCCTGCGTCTGAGTAGCACGGTCAGGCTCAGCTCGCAAGCCCAAAGCAGAGCGATCACCAGCAGGCAGGCCGAGCAGGGTTGGACCCAAACCTCCGAGGCTTCTGACCTGGCGCACAGCTGAAAGCAAGATCTCCTCGGCCAAATTACGGGCTCCGGGGTTGGTCCACCTCTTGCTCAGCTCCACTTGCCCTGCTTCCAAAGCCCGACAGCCCCAACACCAAGTGTCGCCCTCAGCACGAAATCCCTGGCGACACTTGTTGCAAAAACTCATTTGATGCTGAACAGCTGCTAGGATTGACAAGCGAACGCAAGGCTTCGACACTCACACTAACCCTCGACACGAATGTCATTTCATAAATACTACATGCTTTGATTTTTTAATTTAGGGTTCTAAAGGTTTAGGACACAAAAAAAGTAAAAAAACAAGCATGCGCAGCAGACTCAAGCGCGACATCACCTTTTCCATGCTCCCATGCTTCCCCTTGGAGTTCGCTTGCTACTCTGGCAACAACCTCAGGCAAGTTGCCAGCGCTACGTGACTTAATTGTCGAGAACCATCTTCTCTCGATGCACCTCCTTCTCGGTTTCGGAAAGGAGTTTGACACAATTGTGCTCTCCAATTCTCGCGGACTTTCTAGTCACAATCCGCCCAGCTGCATCTCTGCGAGCCTCAGATTTCATGCCTAGAGCTGTGAAAGCCAGACCAATCTTCTGAAAGGTAGTACAGCAGCGTGTACTCGCAAACTTCTTCAACACACTCACATGAGTCGCGTTGGATCTATCCGTCCATTGACAGTGATTTTCCAAGAATGTCTTCAATCGACTCTGAACTTCGGCATCATCGGTGATAAGATTTTCACGTCGCCTCTGATGCCAATCCTGTCTTTTCTGCTTCCGCTTGTTTCTGAATTTCTTATCGTCTCTTGGGCACGACACTTTATGCTGACATGTAGCAAGTCCTGGTTCTCCTCTGATTGACCCTGCAGACACTCGAACCCGATTCTGGAACCAACATCGTGGGCATCATGCCAAGATCATGTGAAAATCATGCACCACTGCAATGAAATCATGCCAAGATCATGTGAAAATCATGCACCACTGCAACGAAATCATGCCAATACGCCAAACCAGAGTTCACATTTCCGCGGGCTTCCTGGGTAGGTCCCACAGTTTTGGCCATTTTGGATAGAAACAATACACCAAACCAGAGTTCACATTTCCGCGGGCTTCCTGGGTAGGTCCCACAGTTTTGGCCATTTTGGATAGAAACAATACGCCAAACCAGAGTTCACATTTCCGCGGGCTTCCTGGGTAGGTCCCACAGTTTTGGCCATTTTGGATAGAAACAATACGCCAAACCAGAGTTCACATTTCCGCGGGCTTCCTGGGTAGGTCCCACAGTTTTGGCCATTTTGGATAGAAACAATACGCCAAACCAGAGTTCACATTTCCGCGGGCTTCCTGGGTAGGTCCCACAGTTTTGGCCATTTTGGACAGAAACAATACGCCAAACCAGAGTTCACATTTCCGCGGGCTTCCTGGGTAGGTCCCACAGTTTTGGCCCCATTTTGGACAGAAACAATACGTGTTAAAGAACAGGGTTCACTACGGGTTCAGACACAGCTCCACTTAACACGCACTTTTCCTTCCCAAGCTGCCCGGAACCTCAAGGCATCCGCGCTCGCGCAGCTCGGGAACCCCGAGCCGAACGACATTATTTGGGAGCTGTCCGACGAGAGCTACTACCTGGACGCGACGAGGGAGTGGACCTTCAGCCAGCAGGCCATGCAGGTCGTGGACAACCAGGTGGTGCTGAACACCGTCCTGGATCAGCCCCTGGGGGCTCTGCGGGACGTCTCCTACCAGCTGTACTGCGGCGACGACATCCTCGAGTCCGCCTTCGAACAACGGCCGGACAAGCTCTGCGTCCCTCGGCAGCTCGCGGAGCTGATGCGGCTGCCGCTGCAAGAGGTGCTTTCGGACTTCGACGCAATCTGCACCCAAAAAACGTGGCGGGAGCAAGGCATCACCCCGATGTTCTACGTGGACTGCCAGGGCCGCCTGCTGGACAAGTACGAGCCTTCGGTCAAGGAGCAGCGGGCCGTGGCCTTCACGAGCTGGAACGGCCACGCCTTCTTCTACAAATCCGCCCGCACCGTCGCGAAGTGCGAGCCGATCGGGGAGCGGGCCAGGTATAGGGGCGAGAGGAGGCCGGGCGAAACGCCCGAGTTCAAGCATTGGCGGGAGTGGGAGGGTGAGGTCACCAGCGGCCACTTCTACGCCGAGGACCTGGAGCGGTCCGGAGGGAGCTCCTGGCCGAGGAGCACTGCCCGAAGGTGGTCATGCGAAGCATGAGCGAGTGGCGGTGCCTGCGGCTGAGGGTGCGGGGCGGCGAGGACTGCGTCATCTCCGCCTTCCACGAAGACCTGGACGTGCTGCAGGCCTGGATGCGGCGGCTGGGGCCCCTATTACGGGCAGCGTCTGGCAGGCGCTTCGAGCGAGGTCTTCCTTCACCTTCTCAAGGCCCGCCGCGATCCGCCCGGATCTCGGCAAGCCCTGCTCTCGGAGCAGGACCATCAGTGCAAGCTCTGCGGGGCCCCCATCACCGCAACCACATGCGAGTTGGACCACATCGTTCCCGTGCACCAGTCCTTCGCCGCGCAGGCCCAAAATCTCCAGGCCCTGTGCCTCGAGTGCCACCGGAACAAAACGGCCTTGGAGTTCTCGCACGCCACGACACTGGAGTCGCGCTTCAGCCGGCGGGCTTACGAGCAGTACGTGGAATCGCCCCGACTCCCACCGCTCTTCAAGCTCAACAGCCACAAGCCGGACCACATCTGCCACGGAATCGACGTGGTCCGGTGCCGCAAGAACGCCCTGGCCCATGCCAAGTTCCCGGCGCCCATCTTCTGCCCCAAGGACAACGTGGAGCAAGCCCGCGAAGGGCACCTGGCGGACCTGACCTACGTGAAGCTCCGGGAGGACGGGCGTTGGGCGGCCTTCAAGCAGCTCCCCTACGTGGGTCAGGGCTGGTACGCGAAGCCTGCGGTGGCCTACATGCTGGAAAAGGGCCTTGCGACCTGGCGCGACTTCGTGTACAGCCTGGACGCCACGGCGCACGTGGACCAGGAGTCCGTGACTCAGGCCCTGCAGCAAATGGAGGCGGCTTGGCCGGAGGGAGAAGAGCACTACGCGAAGCTGTCGGTGAACGCCCTCATCGGACTCTGGGCACGCAACATGAACCTCATCTACACCATGCGCACCAGCAACCACCAGTTCGACGGCTCCGGGTGCCAGCACCGGGAGCTGTTCCTGGACGCCGCGGGTGGGATGCACTGGGATCACATCTACGTGACCCAATTGTTGTCCAATCGGAGCTGCCGGCCCGTGCACGACTTCGTGATGGCCTCGGAGTACGTCGCCGTCTCCAGAATCCGGGATGCACTCGCAACCGTGCCGCCGAGGTACCTGAAGGCCGTCAAAACGGACTGCGTCGTCTTCCAGGACCTGCCCAAAAAGTTCCAGGGCCTCGTGGACGGACTGGTCCGCCAAAAACACCCCGACGGCACGCCCGTGTACCGATGCGAGGAGGTCAAGGGCCTCGAAGGCCAGTACCGAATCCCCCGAATCGAGGCGGAGTGCATGTGCAACATTGACACCTGGAAGGTCGCAGAGGACCCGGTGCTCCACTGCCTCGAGGGTGGGAGCCTGCTGCTGACCGGCTACCCGGGCACCGGGAAAACCTATCTGGCGCGCCAGATCGTGACCGCCCTCCGGGAAGAAGGGTACAAGGTGAAGATCATCACGAAGACCCACTCCTCCGTGCAGAACTTCGGCATGCAGGCGGAGACGGCCGACCACTGGGTGCGGAGCACCGTTCGGAACGGGTACTGCAACATCGACTGGCTGGTGGCGGAGGAAATCACGCAGCTCGACACCGGGCTGTGGAACGATATCGCCTGTGTCTCCATGAACCGCAAAATCAAGTTCCTGCTGCTCGGCGACTTCCGCCAGTTCCCCGCGATCATGGACAACTTCGCGGGCACTCCGGTGCAGCGCGAGCTCAAGCACTGCCAGCTGCTCCACGACCTCACCGACGGCTGGCACCACGAGCTCACCGAGAACATGAGGAGCGACCCGGGCATCTTCGACTTCCTGACCTGGCTTGGGGTCGACGAGCCCCGGGAGCAGCGCCTGGCCGAGGCGCTCCACGCGGCCCGAGAAAGATTTCCTCGACAAGGCGAGCCGGACGTCAGCCTGGTCATCTCCCACGCCCACCGCATCAGGATCAACACCCGGGACAACCGTCGCCTGGCCCCGCCGGAAGCTGTCACGATCGAGTACACCGGCACTGGCCCGACGACCACCAACATGCCACAGACCATGCGGGTCTGGCCCGGCCTGAAGCTCATCGGGGCCGGCGGCCGGGTCAGCAAGGGCATCTACGTGCACGTGGCCGAAGTGGGCCCCGAAAAGATCGTCTTGGACGGCGGCGACTCCTTCACCCACGCCGCCCTCCTCAAGCACACCCGGCTGTGCC